TTAATTTATGCTTCATAAATACCTAAAACACATAGCCTGAAGGTCATTTATACGCTATTTTTAGTGCACCTGAGTTCTGACTGCAGTCTGTCACCTGAGGTCGGGTGTGGAATCTCCCATTTGTGCAGACATGTCAGCACTTAGAAAATTTCAGATTTTGAAGTATTTTGCATTTTGATTGAAGAGATTAGGGATGCCCAGCCTGTCTGACACAGCTCATCAATCTACATTTCCTCCCCTTTGAAGCTGTGTCTATGCTCCTGTTCACATCCGATAGACACACCCAGGAGCCACAGGTTCACTCAAACTGGATCAGGTGTGTAGACAGCACAACTCAGCTTATTCTGTGGCCTTGAAATGCATTTTTAGGAATCTTCTATTCCAAGCACTTGGTTGGTGTTTACCACATGTGGACTCAGTGGCGGTATGTCCTCACATTAGCACAGAAATATCTTTTCTCACCACTTCTCAGTCTGGATCCATGAGAATAGTAAAAAAAAAAAAATTACATTATAGCAATGACTTAAGTATGGAGTTTCTTTTGTTAGATTTTGTTGTTCCTGGAGATGATTGAATTATGTATAAAATTTATAATAGCCTTTATAAAAAATGTGTATAGTTTTTTAAAGAACCAGGAAAATTGGATATTTGTTATTTACTGACCCCAAAGTAAACACCAAAGCTTCACCTAAATATTAGCCATTTGTTTGCAAAATCCCATCAGTCCCATGTATATACAGTGCCTAGTTTGGTTTCCCATTGCCTACTCCTGCTGGTGGAGTAGGCTAGAGCACCTGCCTACAAGCATGAGGCCCTGAGTTCAAACCCCAGTGCCGCCAAAAGAAGAAAAAATAAAAAACCTGCACAGACCCATTGCCTACTCTTTACTAGGAAGGGGCTAGAGATGTTTAATTTGCTTAAGAGTTTAGAAGTAGAAAATTTCATCTTATACCTGAAATTCTTAAAAATGTAAAATTATGTGTGTGAGTTATCTGGGGATCTTCTGAGCCAAGAGGTCTAGGTGGGGCCTGAGATTCTGCATTTGCAGCAAGCAAAGAACCTAAGGACAAAACTTCAACTACAAAGCCTTGTGCCCCTGAGCTAAATTTGAAAATACCACTGGAGAGGGAAGTATGAATGTAGATGCTGCCTTTAAATCTATAAATGCCTATGATACATTCAGGATGGTGGTTACCAGGCACACCATAGGTAGTAAACCCTAATCAATTGTCTTGATTCATCTATTAACTCCCTTCTGCTTCCGTATCTTTCCCCTCTTCCAGAAATGTTAGCTAGTGCGATGTGCACACATGGCTCTCTGGTAATGTAGCATTTATATTATTGTTTGTAGTTTCATGTTTAAAGAAATCTTTTGGGCATGTGTTTCAGAGCTGAACACCAGAACCCCCAAAGGGTAATTCTCTGCAACTAGAAAGAAACCCTAAAAGCACAAACCCCATTTTTTCCACCTCTTTTGCCTTTCTCTTTCCCTTCCCTTCCAGATTCCTAAATGGCATCCCACAAATAATCAATCACCTGATGTACCAGGGGTTCTGTGCCATACTATGCCTCCCCCTGGTGGTTAACTGAAAACAAAACAAAATCCAATCGCCTATAGCCAGGTGCCAGTGGCTCATGCCTGTAATCCTAGCTACTCAGGAGACAGAGGTCAGGAGGGTTCATGGTTCCAGGCTAGCCTGGGCAGGTCGTTTATGAGACCCTATCTTTAAAAAAACCCAACACAAAACAAAAAACCCAACACTGGTGGAGTGGCTCAATTGGGAGAGTGCCTGCCTAACAAGCATGAGGTCCTGAATTCAAACCCCAGTACTGACCCCCCCCCAGAAAAAAATCCAATCCCTAGTCTTAGATTTCCTCCTCAAAAGAAGACAGACAGTATGGAGAGCTAGTGAGCAGAGATGGGACACTTCATCCAGAGTGTCTCCTCCATGCTGCACTGGTAAACACTTCTACACTTAAGGGAATGCCATGTCTGGTGGTACACACCTGTACTCACCTGTGCAAGACAGCTACTCAGGAGACTGAGGCAAGAGGCTCATTTGAGCCCAGGAGGCTAGGACCACCCTTGGCAATATAGCAAACCTCCCCATGTGTAAAAGGATTTAAAAATGTAAGCCAAAACTCCAAAACTAGGGGTGCTGAGGCAGGAGGATCACAAATTCACCTGGGCTACATAGTAGTGAGACCCTTTCTCAAAACACACACACATATTCATACATATATTCATATATATATATATATATATATATATATATATACACATATTCATACATATATTCATATATATATATATATATATATATATAAAAGTTTTTTAATTAGTTTTGGAGTAGGATGTGTTAAGATTTATATCAGTTTGACCCAGCTCCTGTGTTAATCATTGTATCTTGTATCTTTGATTTATCATTGGCAAGCTCTAGAAAAGGTGCTACTTACCAATGGATTTCAGAAGAATAGATTTGAATGTGTTTGTCAGAGCTGATTTGTCTCCTTTGTGGTCCATTAGCAGAATCCCAGCCCCATTATCGTTCAAGGCCGACCTGAAGCCAGTGTCTCTCAAATAAATAGTATAAATAAATTCCTACACTTCTGAGAACCAAGTCAGTATTCTCCAAATTCACAAAAGCTGGGTTCTTAAAGTACCTTCAGAGGGCTTTTCTAGTTCTGTGTGTTGTGCATTCACTTGTACAGGCAATTTTACATTTACATTGCTAATGAGCCTCTTCCTGAATGGGTTTGACATTTTACTTGGCTTTGAAAGGACTTTTATGCTGTTGCTTTTTCTTCCCTAGAGCTGCCTTGAGCTAATTAACCTATTCCCTTACTGGCTGGGCCTACTATATGCAAATATTCTCATTGCAGATTCTGACATACCACTGTTGCATGAACACCCTTAATGAAATCCTATGGGGTTTTACTGGATCAAGGCTACTGTGGAACCAGCAGAGGGCGGCATGGAACAGTTGTCTGAGTAGAGTTCAGAAATGAATGTTCCTCGCTAGTTGGGATGAAAATATGGGAGGTTATCCCGTCATCCCCTTTCTGGAGAGTGATTCTTGGAATCTAAAGAGAAAAGATCATTATCAGTACTTTTCAGATATTCAAAATGACAGTGTTTTTATGTTTTCATTATTTAATTCTACTCTGTCCTTGTAATTAATTTGTATCGGATGCAAATTATGTGTCGTGCTGCACACACATATGCGTATTACATATCTAGATCTAGATATATATATGAGGGCTGTATGGAACAAAGTTATTTAGTACTTATAAAAGTCCTGGGTTTATAAGTTCTAGGACTTACAAAAGAACTTATAAAAGTCCTTAGACACAGTTCTTCATTTGTTTCAGCAATGATATTTGAAGTCTTTTTACTTTTTGTTTCTATCCCAGTCTTTAAGTGCCTCTCTTGTCATGTGAGAAATACTGTTGCTGAAATATCTTTTGATGTTCAGACACCACATTTCTAAACCTTGACTTTCCTATTAACTGATCAAAATCATTAAGAAAGGATAACTTTCTGTTGTTGTCTTTTAACATGTTGTCTGTTTGCTGATGCTGAAGCAAAACCAACAAGGCTATTAAATCACTCCCCCCCACCCCCGCCCAAGTTACAAATTATTGTAATGGAAGCTGGATAGGAGAGATTTGGGATTAAGAGATGCAGAGACAGGAGGAGAAGAGAGAAAGGGGTTGTGTTGCAGTAAGGATCTCATTTTTTCTTCAGTGTGGATGAGGAGGATTGAATGCTGAAAGTGGCTGCCTTATTGTGTTTGTTTTAATGAGATGACAGAAAAGAGAGTCTAGGGAAGAGAAATCCCTACACCTGAGTGTCTGCAATTCCCAAAGTCCAATCCTGTAGCTCACAGCACGAGACACTGCTCACCTCTGCATCTGCGACCCTTGGGGAGCACTCACATCTACTGGCGGTTAGCATGGCTCATATTGGTCCTGTTGATGTCCTTCCTCACACCAGCTAGGCACTGATCACACAGTAGTGGTGGAATCCACTAGTCACTAGGAATCTGAAATATGGGCCCATAAGAACTGACTCCAGTGTCACTGTTTGTAAAGCCAGGTGTGAATACATAGGTCTGGTTTGTCTGAAAGAAGTTTCATCTCTACGGTTAATGATGAGTTGGCCCTTTCCAGAGAGAAGGGAGGGGTGGTGTGAAGAGAAAATTCAAAGACAGAAGGAATAGAGAGATGAGACAAGTGCATATCTCAAATTAAGGAAACTTTCAGTGCATCAGCCCCATTACTGTATTTTTCTTAACCATACCAAATGTATTTTTAACTGTCTCACAAATTTCTATTGGATTTCTGTTACCTTACAGTGACTGTGCTGGGAATTCTTTTGAAATTGTGGAGAGCAGAATTAGTTTTGGCTGTCTTTACTGAGTTAGGGTATATGTGTGCATGTGGGTTGGGGTGTTAGCCAGGGGGATCACTATAGATCCAGTATGGCCCCAGAGCCAGGTGGCATCTTGGAGGATTGGTTGTGGCAGGTGAGGATTCAGAACCCTTCAAGGCCTGCTCTGTACTTCCTTTCCTAACCTGTTTCTTCCCAAAGTCTGGCTCTGAGGCCAGAGTCCCCCCCACTCTCCCCTTCACTGGTATCAGGTGAAAAGAGATGAGGAAGGAAACCAACATTTCTGAAAAGGAAACTTGAGAAATGTATCTTCTACCCTCTAAGCAGGAAAAGGAGTGGGGGGAATTTCTTAGGGGAGTTGTTAACTCCATAAAAAACCCCATGCTTTAAAGTTGTGACTTGCTGGGTGTCTTAAATCCTCTTCCACAATGTTCTAACCATCACCAAGGGTGTTTTATCTGCTTTAATATGAGGGCCATAATCAAGTTTTTTGAACTTGCATTGAATCCAGGGGCTTAGTCTTAATCTTGCCAAGATGTTTTCCCCCCCAGTGCTGATATTTTGATTTCCTTCCCTTTCTCCTCTCTTTCCTTTCTTCCCCATCCCTGGCCTCTTCCCTTTCTCAGAATCCAGAGCTGCTGTTGGCCCAGTGTACCCAGGGGGAGATGATTCCTCATGAAGAGCCTGGATCCCCTACAGAAATCAAATGTGACTCTCCATTTATCAGACTAAAATCAGAGCCAGACAGACAGTGAAACAGCCACCGTGGAGGGGGGACGGCGAAAAATGAAATCCAACCAAGAGCGGAGCAACGAATGCCTGCCTCCCAAGAAGCGCGAGATCCCCGCCACCAGCCGGCCCTCGGAGGAGAAGGCCACCACCCTACCCAGTGACAACCACCGCGCAGAGGGCGTGGCATGGCTCCCCAGCAATCCTGGTGGCCGGGGCCATGGGGGTGGGCGGCACGGGCCGGTGGGGACTTCGGCAGAGCTTGGTTTGCAACAGGGAATAGGTTTACACAAAGCATTGTCCACGGGGCTGGACTACTCCCCGCCCAGCGCTCCTAGGTCAGTTCCTGCGGCGGCCACCACGCTGCCCACAGCGTACCCTCCCCCACAGTCAGGGACCCCGGTGTCTCCGGTGCAGTACGCTCACCTGCCGCACACCTTCCAGTTCATTGGGTCCTCCCAGTACAGCGGGCCCTACGCTGGCTTCATCCCTTCACAGCTGATCTCCCCATCGGCCAACCCTGTCACCAGTGCAGTGGCCTCTGCTGCGGGGGCTACCACTCCATCCCAGCGTTCCCAGCTGGAGGCCTATTCCACTCTGCTGGCCAACATGGGCAGTCTGAGCCAGGCACCGGGACACAAAGTTGAGTCTCAGCAGCAACAGCAGCACCTCGGCAGGGCTCCCGGACTTGTCACCCCGGGGTCCCCCCCACCCACGCAGCAGAACCAGTATGTCCACATTTCCAGTTCTCCACAGAGCAGCGGGCGCGCGGCCTCTCCTCCGGCCATCCCCGTGCACCTCCACCCCCATCAGACAATGATCCCACACACGCTCACCCTGGGACCCTCCTCCCAGGTGGTCGTGCAGTACTCCGATTCCGGTAGCCACTTCGTCCCTCGGGAGTCCACCAAGAAAGTCGAGAGCAGCAGGTTGCAACAGGCCATGCAGGCCAAGGAGGTCCTGAATGGTGAGATGGAGAAGAGTAGGAGGTACGGGGCTCCATCCTCCACGGACTTGGGCCTGGGCAAGCCAGGCAGCAAATCAGTCCCTCACCCTTATGAGTCCAGGCACGTGGTGGTCCACCCGAGTCCTGCGGACTACAGCAGCCGAGATCCCTCGGGGGTCCGGGCCTCTGTGATGGTCCTGCCCAACAGCAGCACGCCTGCATCCGACCTGGAGGTTCAGCAGGCCACTCATCGGGAGGCGTCCCCCTCCACCCTCAACGACAAGAGCGGGCTGCATTTAGGGAAGCCCGGCCACCGGTCCTATGCGCTGTCCCCCCACACGGTCATTCAGACTACACACAGTGCTTCAGAGCCTCTCCCAGTTGGACTGCCAGCCACGGCCTTCTATGCGGGGGCTCAACCCCCTGTCATCGGCTACCTGAGCGGCCAGCAGCAAGCGATCACTTACGCAGGCAGCCTGCCCCAGCACCTGGTGATCCCTGGCACCCAGCCCCTGCTCATCCCAGTGGGCAGCCCTGACATGGACACCCCGGGGGCAGCCTCTGCCATCGTCACGTCCTCACCCCAGTTTGCTGCAGTGCCTCACACGTTTGTCACTACCGCCCTGCCCAAGAGTGAGAACTTCAACCCCGAGGCTCTGGTCACCCAGGCCGCCTACCCAGCCATGGTGCAGGCCCAGATTCACCTGCCAGTGGTGCAGTCGGTGGCCTCCCCCGCAGCGCCCGCCCACACTGCCGCCCTACTTCATGAAAGGCTCCATCATCCAGCTGGCCAATGGGGAGCTGAAGAAGGTGGAGGATTTAAAGACAGAAGACTTCATCCAGAGTGCGGAGATAAGCAACGACCTGAAGATAGACTCTAGCACGGTGGAGAGGATTGAAGACAGCCACAGCCCAGGGGTAGCTGTGATTCAGTTCGCCGTTGGTGAGCACCGAGCACAGGTAACCTTCACCCAGGTTGCAAAGGTAGGGGGAGCGACCGTCTTCTCGCTAGATGGATTGTTCCCGTGAGGCAGGACTGAGTGTTCCCATTTGTGCATAGACCACAACCACATTCTGGAAGAAGACTAAGCCCTAATTCTCTATGGCATCCATTGTGTGTAATGAATTAACCCTAGGCATCTAGGATGGCTCTACTTATGTAGTGTCCTTGGTAATTGAGATTACCAGTCTAGTTATTTTTTGTGTTCTGTAGTTGGAATGAGGAACCCCTCGTAGTTGGGAAAAGCTAAGGGTCTTCAGGCCCTTCTAATGATCATCTTCTCAGGAGGAGAACAGAGGCTGCTGTTCAAGGTGAGAACTTTTAGATACAGGTGCCACCACATTATATTCCAAATCCATGTTTTAAAATATAGATTTTAAAGGGTTTGGGGCATGGTTCAAGTGGTAGAGTGCCTGCCTAGCAAGTACAAAGCCCCAAGTTCAAACCCTACTACTGCCCACCCCCACCCAAGAAAACAGAAAGGTAGATAGATAGGTTGATTGATTGATTTTATTATTATTTAGGTTTGGCAAAGCCAATAGATCAAAGACAGTGTGTTATATAGTCTCCAATGGTGAGAAGAGAAAGCACACCATCCCGATGGGGGAGAGTGGGGGAACCAGGATCCCAGACAGAGAGAGCAAAGGGAAAACATAGGTCTCCAAGGAGGGAATGGAAGAGGCAATCTTCCATTCAATTTTAAGCATGTTAGAATTAACTAGTGTGAATAATTTGGGTGGCTCTGGGGCACAGGGGCTGTCTCTGGTTGTCTGACAGCTGGCCCTATGGTGATCAGGGAAGGTAGATAAGGGCCTTGAGTCTGAAATACCAATATGGGAGGTGTTTCTTGGTTGGTTGGCATATAACAGGCATGGTTTCTGTAGGAGTTAGCTAGACTGAGGAGAGGCAGTCCCTCCCTCTCAATGTTAAACTATTAGAAAATAAAAAGCATACAATACAATCTGAGAAGTTAGGATCACCCCTGGTGACCTCTGGGGCTTGTGGCAAAGTCAGATGCAGTCAAACTGACTCATGCAAGTGTGGTTAACTCTCTTAACTTCCAAAGGCTGTTTCAGTCCACATGCTAGAGTCTTAGGTCATTTGCATTCATTTATTCCACAGCCTGCTTAAATGAAGCAGCAATTGCCCAAGTTGCCAGGAGTCAGCTGGCTTGTCCCCAGCTGGGCACTTTTCTGGCTATGGGACCTACTCTGTCTGGACATGTTTTTCAAGAACTTAGGAACACTCAAATTTGACAGAGCCTGCTTCAAGTGTGAGCTGAAGATAGTTATGGAATAACTGATATTTGGGACACTCAAAATAAAGCAAGCAAATAATTAAAAGTTTGAGTTGCTTTGAGCACTTTTAAAAGATCATAGGAAGTGGGGAAAGACCAGTTTCCAAAAGCATTTTCCAAAACTGCTTGTGAATGAGCAGATATGGGATCTTGCAGTGTTTGGGGTCCTGTGTCACCAAGAGCTTTTAGGCTGGAATACTTTCTTGTGGTGAGATGTCACTAGGCTTACAGTCTCTGATAAGGCCTAAGAAAAATTTCTCAAAAGTTCTGATTCAGAACAAAGGCCGAAATAAAAAAAAAAAAAGATTTGATGTCATAAATATTTAGAACTCACTACCCATCTGTATTTGCTGCTTGCTTCCTATGTGAAATGCGGGAGGGTACTAAAAGAAAGAAATGATTGACGTTTAGAGAAATAGACTCTGAACTGACCCCTGGTGAAGCATGGAAATAAAGCAGAATGAAAAGTAAATGGCAGTTTTAATCCTTCTAACAGGATTGTGACTAGACGCTAGCATGCAAAGAACTTTTATTTTGAAATGCTACTGGCTCCTGAGTAGCCCTCTCAGCTTGAGAATAAATTCAACCACAATAGCCAGGGGCTGCACCCACCTACCAAGCATGTGCAGCCTTAGCAGGGCAAAGCCTCTGAGGACCCCATAGCCTTTTCCAGGCTGGAAGAACAATCTAGAGGTGTTTGTTCTTACTCAGAACTTTGCAAAATGAGCACTTTAAATGGTTAAAAAAAATGGCTTCTATGAAGTCAGACCCTGCTTCTATTTCTTTGCCACAGTCTAATCACTAAGTCTCTTTGCTGACAGCAAAGGTACAAACGAGCAGGTAGAATATTTGTTAGGACCCAGTCAGTCTGTCAGGCAGTCCCTGTGTGCCACGTGCACACAGGTGACTCAGCTTTCAAGTCACAGAAAAAAAAAAAAAAGTGCAAGGCCGGGGCACAGGAGTGATTTGTCAGTTTATTCAGAAGGCTGTCAGAAACTGGCTGACATCACCGAAGTAAATGTTCCACTACTAAGTGACAAGTTCAGAGTTGGAGGGGGTGCGGATAAGGGGTGGTAGAGAGATGGGAGGGGAGAAAGAATTGACACTGGACTTAATAAGGTTCCAAGGACTACAAGCTGCTCTCCATCATTGGTGTCTCCCCAAGGGTTTTCTCCCCTCTCACCTAGTGAAGTGTGGCTAACACTTGGACCCACGGGGAAGTGTAGAAACATGCAAATTGTTGAACTTTTGTAACCAAATCACAAATTTGATTGGGGAAGTTGGAGAAGGGATGGTTTTCTCCATGACAGAAATAGCTTTGTAACCCCAGGCATAAATCCTGCATGAACAGACAGTTGCAAGGATGCCTGGTCTCAGAAAACTTCCCACAGCCATTTCCAGGGAGAGCACTGTGGTATAGTGGGGACAGAGGCAGGGACCAGGCTTTGGACTTGTGTGAGACAAGTTGTTTCACCTCTTTGAGTTGCAGTTTCATTTCTAAAACAGATAAATAATTTAGAGATGAAACTCCAGAGCCTAACAGCTAACTTTTTCCAGTGTGCACAAGAAACCACTTTTACCCTCCCTGCATCTTTATGATCTGCTCCCATGCCTGGCCCAGGGAGCACCATCATTCCCGTTTCTAGTAGTCAGCCTAAGTGGCCACAAGCTAGCCTATGGGAGCATATGCAGTGTGGCTTTCTGGCATGAGCTGGACATCAAAGATGGATAGGTGGTCCACCCCTCCGGGTCAACAAAAGCACCCGTACCCTGATGAGGGCTCATGGCTCCCCATCTACAGGGGTATTATTAGCAACATGCTTCCTGGGTGAGCCCCCACCCAGGGCAGCCCCCGCTGGGGAGACTTTGACTCGCATCTGGCCAACATTGTCCAATCTTCTGAGCAGCCTCCAGTCTCTCTCCTGCTTCTGAGGCTCAGCTTTTCTGTAGACTTCCGACATTTGCTCAGTAGAGCTGAAGTGGAATGTATCTGCAGAGCACCCTGAGCTGACGCTTCCCTGCCACTTTCCGAAACGCTGAGCTCCATGTGTTGTTAGGACTGTCTGTCGCTTCCCAGATCCTCCCAGGGTGACTGCTTCCCTTCAGCTGCTTAATATTCAGTGCTATTTTCCCTTCCCAACTATCCTGGTGTGGGGGTGTGTGCATGCTCCCATGATGTGTCATAATGATGTACTTACTGCATGTCTACTCGTGGCTTTTCTTTCATTCCACTTATTTCTAGTTGGACTGCTGTGGACTGTGACTCATCGGTGGCAGCCTTATTGCATTGAATGGATTAGCCGGGGCCTAAAAATAGCCAAGGCACTCATGCAAGCAGCAAATAAGCCATATAGTCAGTCCCGCAGAAGCCAAGGCAAACCTCTTTGCCAGCAGTTACCATGCAGGGCTTAAGTGAAGGCTAACGTATCAAAAAAGAGAGAGTTAGTCAGTGTCCTGAACACAATTTGAACTCTGGGCCTGTACCCAGAGTAACAAACTTCCTATCAGTTCTAATGCCAGAAACTGGATCAATACATGCTTTTGTTCATGTAGCTGTGTATCCCTGAAAAAACAAACAAAAAATAGCAGACATGGTGTATACCTGTAATCTCACCTACTTGAAAGGCTGAGGAAGGAGGATTGCTTGAGCCTAAGAGTTTGAGACCAGCAACCTGGGCAGCATAACAAGACCCTATCCAAAAACACAAAAAAGGAGAAAAACCTTTGTAGGATGCAAGTGTCCCCAGCTGGGTGATCATATATGTATTATTGAAGCAGATGGCCTCACACCATTTTCATATATAGCTTTTTAAAAAATTGACTTTATTTGATTAATACCATTTTAATTTTATAAAACACTGAACAGAAAGTAGAGAGAGTTCCCACGTACACTTTCCTCTGTTATTAAAATCTTGCATTGGTGGAATGCATTTGTCCTAGTTGATTAGCCAGTGTTATACATTGCTATTAACTAAAGCCCATGGTTTCCAGTGGGGTTTACTCTGTATTGTGCCTTCTCTGAGTTCAGATAAATGTATGGTACCCTCTAACCAGCATTATAGTAGCATGGAAAATAGTTTCCCACCCTCAAAATCTCTTATGCTTTCACCTGAGTCCCATCTTTCTCCCCTTGCCACAGACATACAACCCCAGACCTCAAACCCCTGGCTAGCACCAATCTTTTTTAAGTCTCTGTAGTTTGGCCTTTTTCTAGAATATCACATTGTTGGAGTCATACAGGATGTAGGCGTTTTAGACTGGCTCTTTCACTTAGCAATATGCATTTCAGATTTCTCTGTCTTTTTCTGTCTCCAGCAGCACATTTCTTCCTAATGCTGACTATTCTTTAATGCATTGTTCTTTAAAGCTGTATCTTAAGATCCCCAAGAGAGGAGGGCATGTGTGCAGTCCCTCCAATGCATAATGCTGCAATGTTGGCTACAGTGGTCAATTGTTGGCAATGTCCCTCCCAGCCAGCTCTGAGCCTCCCAATGGGGCTTTCCCCCAGAAAGTTCTGTGAGCCATTTGGGATTTGTGTTTGGAGGTGTCACTATGCTAGGATGTGGGTTTCCTGAACAAGCCTAAAATGCTTCGCCAAAGGCTGAGTCAGGCATAGCATTACCATGATCAAATGTTTTAAATAGAATACTCACAGATATTCTT